TACATAAAGTAACATCAAGAATCTACGTCTCTTTAAGACAGACTTCAATGTATGGCGTTTTGTGAATTTATCACGAGTTTAACAGAAGATTGGATTCAATCCGTTTCGTATGATCGTTCTGCATTTATGTATATATCACGGAATATAGAACAATCTTTAACAGATACTACAATCTTTAAAAGAGTTAGTGCTAAAACATTAAAATGAATTCAATTAACTAAACCAAATTGTCGGGTGCATTATAAATGATAATGAAAAATAAAAATTCTATCACGTGCTATAATCACTGCCTTGTCTCACATAATCGCGTATACAAACTATAAGCTTAGAGCTATCTGGAAGAAATACTATTGTACACATTGCCAAAGAAGGCGTCACTGTTTTTTCAAGGCACAATTGATTTTTTCATCGGAACTTATAAAAATGTCCGAAGAAATGGAAATAGATAAAGTCAGTGTTTTTTACTCAATCCTTTAAAACCCTTGATATAAAAAAAAAGATGGTTATACATTTGTACATTCTAACGTCTTCTTTTTTCATATAACGATTTATTCGTATCTCAGGTAAAAACGCTGTGTTGCGCTAAAATGTACGATGGATAGATGGATCGTAGAAATATTAATTTCCTCTTCGTAGTTTTTTACTGTCGTTAATTTAGGCACGATAATTGAGATCTATTTAACTTAAATCACGAATGTTGGAAAATTGCATTTATTGAGCAAACTGAATGAACAATGATCACGATTTGATAAATCATGCAATTTATCGTACACCATTGAACACGATCTTTGCACGATCTTAAATAGCTCTCATCTTTCAAATTATGTTATCAATTGTTATTAATGTAAAATCAATGTCCATTTGCGAAGAACGTAGAATGTATATAGCCCTATGATTTTAGGATTTGTAGGTTGCGTATCCCTAATTATGAGATACGGTGTGATCTCTAAAATTATGAATAATACTCCTGGCATTGTAAAGTCTTCCAGTGTTTTATGTTACGTACATTTGTAGAATTTAAGTTGAGATTTTTAGCTACGTCTAATGATGGATTGATAATAATATGTTAATTGATTGAGTGTATCTTCGCTATATATGTAAGGACTGAGTCATCCTTTCGATCGTCATTGCGAACACAAGCGGACAAGTAGCAGGAACTGGGACCAGGACCAAGGGAATTAATGTGCAGCTTGTAACACACTGAGAAGAGCATGCTCGCAATAATAGCAACAGCAAAAACAAAAGTAACTGCAACAATAAATAGTAAACTTTAAATAACGATAACAATAATAAGATTAACAATGTATCGCTAATGATTATGTTGATTATTGATGATACTAATATTAATAACTGATAATATGATATTAATAGAAAGAAGAAGAATAATAATGAGACTAATAAATGTGTAATTTAATAGTATTTAGCAGCAGCAGCAGCAGCGACAGTAACAATAGTAGTATATTAATTAATAGTAGATAGTAGCTTTAACGACTACAATAATAATAATAATAGATGTGCTTCTCGAAATAAAGAAGAGAAATCATCAGCAAAAAAAATTATTAATAAAAAGATGGAGATCTCATCGCGCGTTGTGCATACTCACTATCTCTAAGTCAAAATGATCCAACAGAGAGATTCGTCCGAAGTAGACTGGATGTACATTAGAGTTTTATTTTTCGATAGTGGCTCTCGATAGCAAACACTGTTCATAGTTAAAACCGAGAATAGCTTTTAATAGCTAGGATCTACTCGAAACTATTAGAAGGAATTGCAAGAAAGTAACTCTTGATATATCTCTATGCTATAGATATAAAAATTTATACATATACATACACACACACACACATACACAACACACACACACACACACACACACACACACACACACACAAAGAAAACGATAAAGAAATGTTCAGTAAAACTTTCAATGAACATTTGCTTTCGAAGGCCGCTGTGTTCTCGCGTATCATCTATCGCACAAAGTTTTTGTTTTGCGTGTATGACTGATGAATAGCTTAATTAGTAATTAATACGAAAAGGATTTGAACAGTGATCTCGAACAGGTTATCAAAAATTATCTCGATTTACGATTTTGAATAAAAATTGCTGTATAAAATATTTTTTATTTAAAAGAATGAGTCCTTTTGGTGTTAATTTGACACGAACGCGCATATACATATACACACTCGTATAAATATGCAAACGTAGCTCCAAAAGACGAACAATACTTTGTATACTTGATAGATAATCGGTGTACATAGATCATCGATATGTAAAGGCGTGAAAAATTAGCCGTAAAAAAATAGAGACGTTGATAAAAAACAATGAATCATACGAAATCATATTTATGTCTTGTTAATTTTATCGAATACGTGATGTATATACGTGTATAAGACATAGTGTGCCAGAGGCATGCATGTTGGAGGTGGACGAATTAAAGTTTTAAGGGATACAGTCGTTTTGTTAACGCTGAAAAATGTGAAAGCGGATATGTACTAAGCATTTAGAACATCGGACAATGCTCGCATTTTGAGACTGTCAAGATATTCTATAAAATCAACTCATATCTATAAATTATAACCGTTAGTCCACGATCTTTATTGGCATCTCGCATTAATTATACTCGTTTCCAATTGTATACGTTAAAGATGTGTTTAATAACTGCATACATGAACGAGATGAATAATGCATTTCACGTATGTTTTAAACTTTACCAATGTTAAAGAATAACTTTTTCTGTCTGTCCGCGTTTATCAGAGCCGGATATTAATTTCTAAATATCCCAACGAAACTATATAAATGCGTTTTAGTATTTAAAAGAATGATATGTATAGTAAATGCTGAATTAAAATCTGAAATTTAAGTTTCTTGTACTGTAGATCTCGACTTCTCGTGGTATTGTGTGCGTAGAGTATCATCATATTCTCAGGCGACTGTTCTCAGAAAAAACTTTACCGTTTAAGAAATATTAGAAGAGAGAGATAAACTTTTATACATGCGAGATGTTCTCGCGAATGCCATTATATGCATATTACGTGTATATTCAATCAAAGTAACCTTTTCCCTTTGCGTCCCACGAGATTGCGTGTGTTTATTAGTAGTAATTGTGCTAATGCAGTAGTAAAGTAAAAGACATTAGCCGCGATAGCGGCTATGAGCGGAATAGAATCGAAAATTGTATCGTAATTGTCATATAAGTCAGTAATTAATTGGCAAAGGTATAGAGATTGCAAGTAGAAATTATTTTTTCGCAAATAATTAATTTAGCAATGGTTTTTCTATTAAAATGTCGCTAGAATTCTATTAAATCTTTTTTTAAACATTCATTTCAATTTGCGATAATTAAAAGAATTTGATTAAATACTTGCGATTAAATTCTTTAGCAGCAGGTCTCAGATTAGAATTATGTTAACGAATAAGAAAAGCAACAATTATTGAAATTATTGTTTCTAGAATGCAATTATTATTGAAATTAGGTTGGAAAACGTACTTTTTATGGAGAAACGCCTTATCGTTGCTTGTCTTTTATTTTAATACGACAAAGCGCGAAAAACTTCATCCATGTCAAAGTACCGGATCAAAATAATTGTACTCACAAGTGCGAGCACGAGACGAATATTATTTTATAAATGTTACATTATTAACTATATTCTCTCTCTCTCTCTCTCTCTCTCTCTCTCTCTCTCTCTCCTAGACCTCTCTGGTAATGGATATACTGTCGTTCTCGAATGGGACTGATCGAGAGGATATATTATATTATTAATTGATTAATTATTAGAGTGTGTCTCGTGTGGCTTGATAGGTCGCGTCGAGGCTTTCCTCGAGATTGTAAATAGTATAATTATTTAATACCGCTTATGTATACATACGAATCTAGACTTAAATGAAACTGTGATTTTTTTTTTTTACGTTATTAGGCGTTTTTATATCCGATTGCCGATTTATTTACTATCTTTTCTGAACAGTCTATCGCTGATATAATTAAGGCTTTCACAAGCTTATTAAAGTTTATTTGTGTTATATATACATTGTTGGTGAGCAGCTTAAATATTACTCCTTAAAAATCAAGTTTGAAGATAATGTATTCAAATTATTATATAATATGAGCGCTTTTTCATCAGAAAAACAAGATAAAATAAAATAAGAACCAGCCAACAATTATTATTGAAAATTTACTAAATTTTTCGAAATGAAATTTGATGTTTTAATATAATAATTATTAATATATAATTATTGCTATGCAATAACGTAAGATAATATTAGAACTTTTTAATGACTTTAATATATAAAGGATTAACAGATGAGAAAGTGTTCAAAGTTACTGACCAACAATATATATTTCTTATGTCCTTGTGTATTTTTTTGTTTGTGCGCCAAGTTTTAGCGCT